CTGGCCCGCCCCGGCGCCGAGCGCCGCCAGGCCCGGGTGCTCCTTGGACGGGGCGCAGCGTCGGGGGGGGGGGGAGGCTCCTCCAGGCCCCCCTCCCCCTCCCTCCCGTAAAACAGGGCCAGGATCGGGATAAATCGCTCCAGAGCGTTCCGGAGCGCTCGCAGTGCGTTCCGGAACGCTCTGGAGCGGCCGCGGCGCCCAATACATCCTCCAAACCCGCCGATTCTCAGAGATTTCGAATTATCCCGATCCGATTTTGTCCCGATCTTCGCGTCGTTTGATCCCTCCCGCTCTGTCCCATCCAGGCTCCCTCCCCCTTCCCTTCGAGCTTCGAGCTTCGGGCGGTGCTGATGCTGATGGTCACGATGCTGCTACTGCTCCCTCCCTCCTGTCCTTCCTCCTTGCCCCCCTTCCTCCCTCCTGCCCTCCCTCCCTCCCTCCTCAAACTCGTCCTCGTCCTCGTCCTCCTCCTCCCTCCCACCGCTTCTCCTCCCCCACCCCCGCCTCTTCCTTCTCCTCCTTTTGCTCCTCCTCCTCCTCCTCCTCCTCCTCCTGCCTCCCTCCCTCCCTCCCTCCCTCCCACTTGGGAGGGGGGGCGCCTTGTCCTCCTCCTCCTCCTCCTCCTCTTTCACCTCCTCCTCCTCCTCCTTCACCTCCCCTCCTCACCATAATTTAAAGGAGGGGAGGGCAAGCACCCATGCACAAACACACACGCGCACACGCACACGCACACGCACACGCACACGCACACGCACACGCACACACACACACACACACACCCACACACACACACACACACGCACACACACGCACACACGCACACACACACGCACACGCGCACACTCGCACACACGCACACACGCACACACGCACACACGCACACACACACACACCCACACACCCACACACACACACACACGCGCACACACACGCGCACACACACACGCACATACGCAGACGAACAGACAGACAGACAGACAGACAGACAGACAGACAGACAGACAGACAGACAGACAGACAGGCAGGCAGGCAGGCAGACAGGCAGGCAGGCAGGCAGGCAGGCAGGCAGACAGAAAGAGAGAGAGAGAGAGAGAGACAGAGAGACAGAGAGACAGACTGAATGACAGACTCTGGGCTCGAAGTCTGTCCGCGGAGGTGCATGCAAGCCTGGGCCAGCGAGTAGGAAAGAGTAGGAAAGAGTGGAGAAATCCCGAACCCCCATTCTTTCCACGGAAATGGGTTCGCACGCCCCCGAGCCGAGCCGACGCCCTGGCAGCGCGGCGCCCGCTCGCAGCCGCCCTCCAGCCCACAGCCAGCGCAGCAGCGGGGCGCGGTCCTGCGTCACTCCGCGGCAGCGCCACGGGGGGGCGCTCTGGCCAGCGCAGCAAGCAGACGCGCTCCGCAGCTCCCTGCGGCCGGCCGAGCCGCGCCAGGCTGGCAGGGCAGTCCGCGGTGAGCGGCGCGTCGCCGTCGCCTCAAGCGCCCCGCCGCAGCCAGCGTCGCTGGAGTCTCGAGAGCCGCCCCGGCGCTGGCGCGTCGCCGCCGCCCGAGCCTCACGGGCCGCCGCCGCCGCCGGCGCTGCAGCGCCTGCTGCTCTGGCGCCGGCGCTCCGCCCGCCGTCGCCTCAGCGCAAGTCCGCGGCCGCGCGCCGCTGGCGCGCCAACTCGCCCTGCAGGCCACGGGAGGGCACGCGGCGCGCGCGGGCGACCCCGCGGGCCTGCTCGGCGCCGGGCAAGAGGCACGCGTCTGCCTGCAGTCAGAGGCGCTCCTCGGCTCCGAGCCGCCGCCCCCGCCTCGAAGATCGAAGACGATTTGGGTGAGGCGCTCGCCCGGGTAGCGCGCGCGTTTGTCTCGATCGCCGCGCTGGCTCGCATCGCCGTCGCGGCGGGCCCAGACCCATTGCTCCGCCTCAATGCCCGCGGTGGGGTTCCGCGCGGACAAATCGAGCCGGCGACGCCCGTCGTCGTCCTGGAACCCGAGGTCGAGCACGGCGCGTTCCGTGCCCCAAGGGTGGCCCGGCCGCGGCTTCTCCCAGGGCGGGGCCCGCTGCTCGTAGAGCGGGAGCTCGTGCCTCCAGCCCCGCAGCAGCCCGCCAAGCCAGTCCGCCAGGCCTGCGCACCACTGCCACTCCGCCGCCGTTTTGGCAAGTGGCGCCGTGATGGTCGAGGTCGTCAAGCGGTTCCGCGCAGACCTCGCCGCTGGCGTTCTTCAGGCAGCAGGCAGGAGAGGGCCGTCGCCGCGGCGACCTGGTCCTGCGACCTCGTCAGGCGCAACCGGAGCCGAAGCCGTCTCCCAGCCAGTGCGCGTCCCCGAGCGCGCAGAGAGCCTCGGCGGGGTAGCGCCGGAAGGCTGCCGCGCCCGGCCCCGCTTGCCCTCGCAGAGTGGCCTGTTGGAGGAGGGGCAATCGCTGCAGGAGCGGAGGGTGGTGTCTTTAGCACCTTCTCCATATCCAAGCCCTGCTTGAGTTCGCGAGCCAAGCTGTCAGCCAGTGTTCCGCCGT